TCTTTCCTCTGAGTCAATAAAGTGGCTGGGCAACATCCTGGCTCCTAGATGAAATCTAATAATGCAGGTTTCCTGGGACCTGTTAAAGAACCTGCAGATCCTTTTTCACAAGAGTATGAGTATTAACCCCCTTAGCCTCATCAGACTTAAACTTGGGTACCTCCCCATAATTTGCCCAACAGCTATAGTTTCATTTGGAAGAGGGTGTTTTTCATGTCTGGGCATGGAACACTGCAGGCTATAAAGCAGGCAATGTGTTCAAGACCCCAAGGGGACCACTCATGCATTGCACAAGAATTTTAACCCTTGTTCTACTTGGTCTCCCATTTAAATGATAAGTTTTGCTTTTGATTTAAACAGAAATGGGATCCAGCCCAGAGCTAGTAGATCACCATAAGAATATGTAGTCCACAGGGAGCATTTTTCATCAGTACTTCTGAAAACATTGGACAAAGGTGGTCAGTGTTGCCATTATCCCCATTTCATAGCAGGAGAAGCTGAGGCACAGCAAGGTGAAATCATTTACCTAAAGTCATCAGGCAGCCTAATGGGAGAGATAGGAATAGAACCCAGGTGTCCTGAGACCCAAGCCAGTATTGTACCTGGTAAGCAACACTTTTAGGTGCGTTACGCTGAATGCTGCTCTAAATGAAGCAACACTACACAATGTTAGTAGGACTAGGAGATGGGAAGTGTGCTGTGAGCCTTAGGTCTGCCAGTTTCCTCTATTTGCGCAGTAAAAGCAATCATGCATGCTTGGCCAACAGGAACGCAATGAGAATCTTTGCAGAAATAGAGAGATGAAGCCTACTTCCAGTGTGTCAATAAATCCAAGAAAATGGATGCTTTTTTTTCTCTTTGCAGGGCTCCCTTATGCGGGGTGTATTTGAGAATGCTGTGGTACATGCATGCCACTTTTATTTGCACAGGATCAGCTTCTTTGATGAAGTGCGTGTGCCAGAAACACAAGAAAGAGATGGTTTATAAATGCTAGAGGGGGGAAGGTTAGAATGGTAGCACAAAGGGCCCTGTACACCTAAAGATAAGCTTTAATGGGGAAAAGTCTTGATTTCATATACAAAGAAATCTGCAGTGTTAAAAAGCTGCTTGTGTCCATTGAACTCTGGCCCAGAAGCACCCTGTTATGAATAATCAGACAAAACAGCTGAATAAACAGGAGTAGCTCAAACACGGAGAAACATCAAGGTGAAAGGCAGGTGATGAGATTCACTTGAAGACTCTTGGTGGAATCAGAAGGAGAGTCCCCAGGTCTTGGAAGACAGGCAGTGAATCTCTCTTCACAGGCTGGGAAAGAAGCTAAAAGTTACTCATGAAAAGCAAGATATTTTAAGCTGTTTTTAAAACCACTGCACTATAGAGATGAATGTGTGGGGCATATCCACCCATCAAGGCATGGCACATCCTGAAGCAGGTGAAATGTAGGCACCTTAGCGCAGTGCTGGGTGCATGTGCCTGGAAGCTTGCTCTTTTGAGGGCGCTTCATTATTGTGGTGCTGGCATCTCTCAAGAGAGCAAGCTTGTTAGTGTAAGCCTAGCACTGTGGTTTCATCTGTTCCAGGGAGTCGCCTGTTTGACTGAAACATGCTCTTGCGTGCTCCTTTGCTGTAGAGAGCCCCAAAGCATCACTACTGATGTCAGAGAACGTGTGCTGTTTCTGTCCCAGAGGAAATGTGGACTGCTTGGGACTTATATGTTCAGCTTTTATAGCTATGAACGTAATCCTGATCTACACGCAAAATCCCCCTCCTTTATTTGCAGGGTAAAAAAAAAAATCACGCTTCACCCTCAGTCGGTTCCATTAAACCACATTCCCTCTGCCTGCCAGTAAACACAGAGGGAGCACTACTTCTGCATCCTTAAATTGCATGTCAGTGCCAGTGGTAACTCAATTGAGTAAGGTAAGGAAAAAGAGCTGTAATGTCCCATCACTTCCCTTGCCTCAGAGCTGATGAAAATGACCGAAAACCTACTAGATCAGTCTAGAGCAGGGGTGGGCAATTATTTTGGGCAGAGGGCCACTTACTGAGTTTTGGCAAGCCATCAAGGGCCGCATGACGGCAGCCCAGGGCAGATAAATATTAATTTTCCAAAGTCTTTAGAGGCCCCGCAGGCTGGATAGTATGGCCTGGCAGGCCGCATCTGACCCCCGGGCCGCATTTTGCCCACCTCTGGTCTAGAGAGATGAGTATGTGGAGCATATCCCTTCTCAAAGGGAGGCAGATACCAACTCTGTGTCTCCTTGTGTCTTCCAAGTCCATGAAGCGCCTCTGTGCATTTGGTACCTAGGCCACTGTAGTCTCACTGTAAGTGAATACATTTTTCAGGGAAACATATAGAGGGGAAGGTTTCTCCCCAGTGGCAAAACTCCATTTCACCTCACTGGGGCCGTCTGGCAAGCTCTCTTGTTTTTCCCTTCCAACCCTGAAAATTGTTGTGGAGGCTTCATGGACCATGGATGTCACCCGATAACTCTGGATTCAAATGTTTGTCCAATATAAGAACTTTCTGGGACAAAAAACTGAGATCTTTGTCCCTCCCCTGGCTTAGATTTTTTTTAATTCCCAGAGGGCATTTCCCTTGGTGAGGAGGACCTGAGTAAGAAACAGGTAAAATTTTCAGGATTAAGGCTGTTGAAAAAGTAGAGTGGTCTCCAGGAGGATTCCCCTCCCATAGACAAGAGGATTCCCCTCTTTTATGATATTTTACCTTGTGCTTGAGAAGCGTCATATAGGGCATAGGGCTGATGCCTTATTCAGGCCGTACTTGTCCAGGGCCAGCAGTGCAAAAGGAGGCATAAAGCTACTGTGCAGATGCAGCTTCCCAGCCTTTGTCATCAAGAAAATACCCTAATGGCATACAGCTAATGCAGGCAGAGGTGGACCCCTCTCAGCCTCCCTGCTCACTAGGCACCTGCTGCAAGGCCTGGTAGGCAATGCCTGCATGTGATTCTGGACCCAGGGACCAAACTTTTTCAGGGCTGTTCTAGATCAGTGCTTCTCAACCTTTTTTGTACCAGGATCCATTTGTAAACATTGATGGCTGCCCCTCACTCCCAACCCACTGTCCCCAGCCCCTAGTGCCTGGGGCAGGAGGTGGCTGTGGGGCAGGGTATGTGTGTGGGGCATGGGGGGGGCCCCCAAGCAGCCCCTTGCAGATAGAAACTCTCCCAGCCTGCAAGGGAAAACCCAGTTTCCCACATGTTTCTCCTTTAAAGTAGAACCCAATTTTTAAAGTTTACTGATCCTTTTTAAAGTTCGTTCAAGACCCTTTCATATAGTCTTGCAACCCACTTTTGGGTTGTGACCTATGGGTTGAGACATGAACGACGTATTCAACAACAAATAGGCAGAGCCCTTTTCTCCCCAGCACCACCCTGGGTACTAAGGAACAATGGTAATAAGCTGATGGAGAATAGGTTTAGGTTGGAGATCAGAAGGCAATATTTAACAGTTAGGGTGGCCAAAATCTGGAACCAATTTCCCAGGGAAGTGGTCCTCGTCCCTACCTTGGGCAAATTCAAGAGGAGGTTGGATGATCACCTTCTGGGGTCTCGTGACCCCAGCATTCATTCCTGCCTGTGGCAGGGGGTCAGGCTACATGATCTGTTCAGGTCCCTCCTGACCCTAGCTACTATGAAACTATGTCCCCGGCGACCAGTTTTGGGAGCGTGGTGGCTATAGCCGGGAGCCTCCACAGACACCACTGGTGGGTGGCCTTTTTGTAGGGGGTGCACCGCCACACTCAGGGGGTGCACATGCACCCGCATGCACCCCCTACATGTCGCCCCTGGGTTGAGAAACACTGCTGCAGATGGCATGGAGCGGAGCAACCTCCCAACCGCTCTACTCTGCGCTACCGTGCAGGGACAGGGGCAGCCGCCTGCAGGCTCCTCCTGCCTCAGCTGCTGCTTTGTGTCAATTCATTGCATGGGGAAGCCTGCAATTTCCATCCTGCCAGGAGGCGCCAAGCAGCCGCTGCACAGGGAAGGGGGAGCTGCGTGGGGCGAAGGCCAGCTGTGATCTGGAGGGGCTGTACCCCGGGACAGGTGTCTGCTCCCCGGGACAAGCCAGGCGCGGCTCCCGGACACCGGCTGCTGCTTCCTGCGCACACAATAGCCGCTCGGCGGCGGAGCACGCAGCGCCCCGGGCAGCCCGGCCTCCCCTCCCCTCCACGTGCTCCCCGCATTCGAATCCCGCCCCCTTCCACCGCTCGGCTCCTATTGGCTGCCGCGCCGCCTACTGGCACCTCAGTGAAGCAATGGCAGCGGGCTCCCAACGTTCGGGGAGGGGGCCAATTCCGCCCCCTTCACTCCGGCCGGTCGGCGCATGCGCGGTGGCGCGGACTCGCTGGGAGGGTGGAGGGAGGAGGCAGCGCGCGAGTCTGGTCCGGACACGGCGCCGCTGTCGCCGCCCGCAGCAGCCCCGGTCCGGTGAGGGGGGCGCCGCGTGAGGGGCGGAAGTTGGGCAAAGTTGGGCTGGGTTTGGGGTCTTTAGTGTGAGGGGGTTTAGGGTCACGTTGTGCTTGGTGTCAGGGGTGTAGGGTCAAGGGGTTCCTGGGGTCAGGAGTCCAGGGGTGCTTGGGGTCGAGGGGGTTTAGGGTCAGGGAGTTCTTGGGGTCGAGGGGGTTTGGGGTCGCCCGGCTGGGGCGCAGCGGGTGCCCCCGTGTCCTGCTGCCCGGGCTTGGCCCCCTCCCCTGCAGCCCCCGGCTCGGCCGCGGCGCTGGGGGTGCTCGGCCGCCCCCCAGAAGACGCAGCTTCCTCCGACGGGAGGAGATGGGCGTTGCTCAACATCGGGATCTGGGGTTGAGCCCAAAAAGTCAGCTGGGCCCGGCAGGGATTGTCTGGCCCAGGCGGTGCCCCTCCAGCAGGCGCTGCGGCCCCCGGGCAGGGGCGGCTTGACCGCCTTTCGAGGGGGCTGCGGGGCAAGGGAGGTCTCGGGTGGGATCCCCCACTGAAAAACATCCTGCTCTGCTGGGGGCTTTCCCGGTTCTGGGCAGCAGCAAAACATTGCTCTTTTGTCTGTAGTTGAAAAAAAAAGTGAGGAGAGCTGGCGTTTTCCTTGAGGTGTCTCGCTTCTAACGAGGGGAGGCTCCGGTCTGGGAAGGGGGCCTCGAATGTGAAAAGGTTGGGAACCGCATCAGCGTTCGGGTCCGGACAGGCCTCGGGGGTGTCGTGCGGGGTTGCCGCTCCCAGACGGGCTCCCCCTGCGCTTTTCCTCCAGGCTTGGCTGCAGCTGCTCAGAAGTAACTTTTTCTTTTGAGAGCGGTCTGAGGCGCTGTCGCAGCGAAAGTGCTGCTGCGCCCGAACTTTTAAGCCATCAGGGTTTATTAATCCACCTTTCCGTAGCCATGTTATCCCTTCAGGTCATACAAAGGAGTTGGGATTAGCAAGAGATCAGTGTTACTGACCTCTCTAATTGCTTCTCCTCCAGTGTCCTGCACAGCGTCTCCCTAATGCTTTTCTTCTTTACATTCAAGCCTTTGCAATGTCGTCGTTCTGCAGCGATGCCATCTGCTGTGGTATTGCGTCCCTTTACCGAGGTGCAGGTATTGAGGTGGTAAACAGAATATAAATGCCGCGGTAAGCCAATCGGTAGCATGTGTTGCTTGCTTACAGTCTTAAAGGCAACCGTGAAACTCAAAATACATGCTGGGATATGTGATGCAGTAGAAATATGAGAGGCACGTCATCTATAAACGAAGTCTGGACAGTTGTCCTGGGTTGCAGGCGTGCCTTTTGTGCTGTGGGTCCAGGATCACGTAATATAATCAGCTGCGACGGGACAAGAATGGTGTGGTTTCTGTTTACAATAACTACTGAAGCTTGAACTCGGTCCCTCTCCACATTCTTCTTGTTGTTTTGCACACACTGGCTTATTGTGGGCCTGTTAGGGTGAGTTAGGCTGAAGAGTCCTTTTGGAAGGTAATGATTTATTAATTTCACCCTGGAGGACATGTCCCTTGATATTACTCGTATTCACACAGGGGCTGATGATCTTAACTCCGGTCAAGTTGTTGTGAGGGGGACATGATTTTCTTCCCTTCATGGATGGGAACTTGACTCATAAATTACTTGGTTGAGGTCATACAACCGTTCTGCAGCAAAGAGGGGAGCTGAAACCAGGCAGGAGTTTCAGGGGATGCTGCTTAGGTACAGGACCATCTTTTTTTGCTGGATGCTCTGTTACAGAATGATTGTCCCAGAGGAAATGCTAGGCAAGCTTCTGGGTCCATGTGCCTGCAGGTAATCTTGATGCAACAAACTATGAAGTGTGTTTTTTGTGTAGCTCTAAACAGTTTTGTCGTATTGGTACTTTGCATACGCAGCTTGGTAGCAACAAAAGATAGCCTGATCTTGCGTACGTGTGATTGGCCAACACCCACTTATTTATTTATTTTTTTGAGTGGCTGGTGACTTGGGGTACAGTACTCCTATTTTGAGACACCTTTAAATCAGTGATTTTCAACCAGGGTGTTGCAACACCCTATGGTGATACAAGATCCCTTTACGGGTACTATGTGGTGCTGCTTAATATTAGCATTGTTAGGTTTACAAACGCCTATACACAATTCACCAGATAAACCCAGAGATTTCCAGTAGGAATCCATAGTATCAAAATCATTCTTACTTGTTGTGGTCTTTCCAGGTGTTTTACAGGTCAGAAAGGAGTTAAAAGGATTCCTCTAGTATTTTTCTGCAGTTGAAAAAGTATGAAAGCTAAGAATTGGTTGAGGAGTGCTTTTTCTGAGAAGCTCCTTGAGTCTAATGAGAGATACCTTCTGTTTTAAAAAGCTTGAGAAACATTGCCTTGACAGCTGAGGGATGGTCCTGGGATTGGGACATGTAAATTTAAATCCCGGCTCCATCAGAGGCTTCCTCTGTGATCCTGTGCTGATTATTTAGTCTTTGTCTCTTGTCTGTTTTGTAAACTGAAAATAATAGCATTTCCCTTCTTTGCAGAGGTAACTGCGTTGGGCTGAGAGGTGTTCTGGTACTATGGTGACAGGGGCATTAGAAGTACCTAGGCTTGGCTTTTCTTTAGGGTGTGGGACGATTGTCACATTAGCTGACATCCATTCACTGTTTTCTGATAGTAGTAGTAGTGGGGCTATGGCTAGAAACTTCACTAAAACTGCCAAATGAGTCACCGCAGCAGGTTCCAGGGTTCTGTGTGCTGGTTTCCTTAGCCATCTCATCTTTTACTGCCTTCCATTTCTGGAGCATTGAAGGTCTTCTGCTGTTGTAGATGGGAGCTAAAAACAATATCCCTTCTTAATCTGGGGTGTTTCTTTACTTTGGGTTATTTCTGGTATAGGAGAACTGTGGAAATTGTGTTTTAGCAGATGATACAGTGAAACCAAGGAAAACTTACCCGATTTAGAATGCCAATCTGTAGGCAGGTGAAACGCAACCAATTCTGAACAAAGAAAATACATCTGTTGAAGGGTTTGGGACACAGCATGGGAAAATGAATAGTTGCAGCAGGCATTACTTCTTTTGTCAATATTATCATTTTTTTATAGTGACATTTTATTAAGATTTTTTTTTTCCCCAGCAAAGAGCCAGCTATATGAAGGAACTGGAAGTGCAGTGGTATATAAATCAAAACGTATCAAAACAAAAATGTTGATGACTTTGACAGTCTCCCCTTTCAAATCAGTGTACTAAAGCCTCCCCCTGCAACTTAATCCTCTCTCTTTGTGCAAAGTGTACTATGGACGAAAATACAGCTTATTAGGGGTGTATCCTGTTAGGAGTTTAGTACTGAGTTTTGTAGCACTTGGACAAGACTAAGTTTTACTGGGGAAAACATGTTTAAAGCTCATTTGCTCTGGATAAGTGCTTGCTCAAGCTAGTTAGAAACGCTTTTCTCTGTGAGGGGAAAAAAACAAATTTCAATCAAAGCAGCAACAAGAAAAACAAAAACCGGTCTTTGTTTGAAATGCTGCAGCAGTGGCTCATAGAAGCAGGTCAGGAGCATCACAGCCCTATCTCCATGTATGTGTTCAAGTCCTTGGCTGGTCTATATTTCTCAGGATGAACTGCAGCCTCACCTTTTGGTGTGATGCGCTCATGCTATGTTGGAATCCTTGGCCAGGAATCGCTGTGGGCCATCTCCTTTCTCAGCCAGGCTCCCCAGATGGACAGCGGGGCTCTTTGACATGTAAATGCCAACTCTCAGAAGGCACCCCTTGCATTTTCTGGATCCATGTTTTTACTTTTAAGCTGGGAGCTTTTGAGGAGCTTTGAAGTGTGCTTTCTGGAGAGAACTTGGACCTTTTCCCTAAATTCCTCTAAATTCCCTTTTTTTTGAAAACCTAACTTTTCCTATAGGCAGATTGGATGGAAAAATATCAGCCTCTCTAGCACTCGCTGAATAGTTCAGTGCTGGTCATGGTATCACCATTTGGAACCACAATTCTTTAATTACTGCAGAGAATTGCAAAAAAGAAAACCATGGAGATGGCTTGGAGTCCTTTTCCTTACCTGTCTTTCTCCCTTGGAAATGACCTTTATGCAGCTTCAGAAACTATAAACTTCAGTGTTCCTTTGGCTAGTGATTAGGAGCTGGGCTGGCAGCACTCCAGCAAAAGCTGAGGCACAAATGCAAACTTTTTTCCAATAAAATATCAAGAAATCAATATTGATTTAGGTTGAAAGCACTTTTTCCAGTTTTCAGGCACACTATTTGTATTAAAGGAATAGGTTTTTTGAGTACTATTTAGTTAATTTATTGTTGAAAGCTTTGGTTTGTACTTGGACATATGTAAACATAATATCCCAGAAAAACTTATGTAAGGAACTCTTTCAGTCAAATTATCTTCCCCGAGCACACTGGTTGACCTTTCCATTTGGCATTGAAATCCTGGAGCTGGTTTCATCTTCACTGTCTGCATAGGGCTGTTAGTGGAAGTAGTAGGCAACCATCAATCCTTTTGGATCATGGTATATACATTACGGGTCACCCGGACCTTTGCATGTGCCTAGGCAGGAGGAGTGAAGGCTGCCCAGATTTCTATTCCCCATTTTGGTCATTGAGACAGAATTCAAAGGCCCACCCAAGTTTGGACATTCAATGCCTTAATGGCTGTAGTTACATGCATGTCTGGGAATCGAACGCAGGTCTCCTGCCTGACACACAGATTCTACCACTGCGCCAGGAGTATCTGACTGGTAAAACACTTTCAACAAATCCCTGATTTTAAGCAATCTTTTTTTGACTGGGGAAAAAAACCCAATACTATTATCTAATTTTTTATATGTATATATTCATATATAAGTGCATGTGTAATATGTATCTTGATCAACACAAACTCTTTTGAACCTGTGACTTGTTTTTTCTCACTCCTTATCCAGGAAGAGTGTTACTGAAATGTGCAAAAGAATCGAGCCTGGTTGTACATTGCAATATGTTATTGCTAGCTAAGAGCCTATGCATTTTTCTTTCTGTTATAGACCTGTTGCTGGAAAATATGTAGGGTAGCTTTCATTAAAATATAAGCAAGTATGAGGAGTGGAGAGAGATTATATGTAACTGAAGTCATATAATTCTGTAATGGGTGAATTTTGAAGCCCTGCTGCAAAATGGCAAAAAAGCTGAACTGAGAGCAGTTCTTCAGGTTGAAGACGATACTGTGTGGTAGGTTTTTGAAGCTCTTTGATTTTTAGAGGCACCACTCCAGCATAAATTATAGTACTGCAGTAATGGCTGTAAAAGTACCACGTGCTGTATACCCCACCTGGGTAGTCAGCAATGCAGAACAGCTACAATATAATGTGTTCCAGCTACACTTCTATGGAAGGTCTTGTTTTTGTCTGGATTTCTCTCCAGTAGTAAAAGTCTGCTAAGATTATGGCCCCTATGTGCTTTCACAGCTGGCATGTGGTTGGTGAGGCAGAGGCCAGAATCAAAGCCTGTATCAGCTCTTTTTTCCTATATATTAATTTCTTCTCATAGGATTCTTTGTTAATTTTTCTTTTGCATCCTTCCTGACAAGTTATATTTTTCTTTGGATACTTCTTCTGTAAAGATTAGGAATTCCCTCTTCTCCCAGACCATCTAATTCTTGCAGAATGCTTCAGCTTGTCCTTCATTCCAAAAATAACTTTCCAATGATGCTGCCTGCCTCTGTCATGTTAGTAATAAATTCTTTCCCAGGCAGACACTCTTGTCTCCCAATGTTGGGGAGTAAATCAGCAGGCATAGTGACTGATCCTGCAACCCTGTTTTGCCAGGTTAAGCTTTGCATGACTAATCCCTTTGATTTCCATGGCAATACTCGAATGATGACAGATTACTTGCATCAATGAGAGTTATAGGACTGAGTCATCAAAGGGAATCCACTTAGTTGTTCTTGTGGAGTTCCGCCTAATTTAAAAAGAATAGATTTAAAGTACCAATAGCTAACTCAATAAATTCTCAGTTTCAAGAATTTGTGAAATATTTTCTAAAATATAAATAGAATATTCATGTTGTCCTATCCATGGCTGTAGCTTCTGCCTACTGTTAATTGTTGTAGGGTAGTTTTAAGGGCCTTGGAAAGGTGTCCAGGCAAGTTTTAGGGAAACTCTTAGACTGTATCAACTTTAGAGCATGGAAATTTGTCCCAAGTAATGTGTTCTTTTTAAGATCTTTCTGAACAACAATTCAACAAATGTGCAGATTGCAGTATGACTCTTCATGGCAACTTCTTTAAGGCCAACCTTCTCTAGTATACGTGGGGAAATACTTTGGGATTTTCTCTTACAGATATATGAGTAACTACTGAGGAGGTGGGGAAAGAAGAAAACAAATGACAGAGTGG